CTAAGCCAAGTGTCGGTGTAATTACACGCACGCATCGTTCAAGAGAAAGCGCGCACGTGGCTCGTTCGGTTAATTAGCTTTCCGACGATCATCTAGACACGTGGCCAACCATTAAACCGATCCTGAAATCGCGGGGATTCCATGAAAATCTTTCAACTGAACGCGACTTTCTAGCCGTGATTTGCATCAACCATAGCGAATCCTGTCGAGCTTATCGTCCGGATAGAGTCGTACGTTTCGCAAACGATCGAATAACCGTTTCTATCGGTACACGACTGCCTTGAATTTTGATAAGAAACTGGCTATCCTTTATCGAACGAATGGACAACGAGGATTTTTCTCCAGAACGAACGAGGTGCATAGAAACTTATCGGATGGAGGAACTTGTCCTTTGGAACATACAGGATATCCATTGTAACACTTTTGGGTATTATAAGAACTGTAAGCGAATTTTCAAACATTTTAATTAAGCATCCTGCGCTGAAATTGTTGAAAATTTTATTGAGTAATTTTAATTAGCACTTTTATTCTAAACAAATCTTAATTCGATATCTTTCGTTAAAAGGCAGAAGATGAGAAAAATATGATAATCGACAGGCAGAATCACGAAGGAAAAAGGAAAGACAGATCGTTAGAGGTATTCAGAGCAGACTTTCTAACGATTCGGTGCGGAGCGTGATACGACCCGTCTCGACCTCTCGTTCACGAAGCAGAACCAACGTGTGTGCAAAGCTTCGAGCACGTAAACAGCTGTTCAACATCGGTCAATTAATCATTAATAGGCGATAATATTCATGGAGGTTCGGCTTCGATCGAGAAGCGTGTCGAATGATCCGTCGATCCTCGACGCGTCAGAATCGTTCCAGATTCGAACCGCCTAACGCTTCGTGCAAAGAAATCGAAGCCAGAAATTCTCGTTGCACATCGATCGAACGATTTACGAGGGATAAGGCTAGCGGTCGTAACACGACTCGTTGGTAATTGCACGCCATCGACGCAGATGTGCCTGACGGTTCGACATTTTTGGAGCGGAATCGGTGATGAATGATTTGCATGTTGGGCGATACGCGGAGGATGATGCTTTCTACCTCGCTCGAATCTTTAAATAGATCTGCGTAAGCCTGCGAGACCGTCGCCTTTTCACTTTTTTAAAGGATTCATCATTTTTAAGGGTGAAAATTTTGTCAGAACAAAAGAATTTAGAATCATGGATGCTGTTGAGAGAAGTTGAGTTAATTTTAGAAATAGAGGAATATATTTTGTAATTAACTCGAATTCTGTTTTTAATTCTATTAAATTCTATTTTCTAATAGAAAATAGTTTTAAAAATATTCGATTCACCTAGAATCTGCAAAAGATGAGAAATAAAAAAATGTATTTTCTAATAAATTCTAATTCTGCCTTCTTAATTATTCCTATCCCCAAAATTAAACGCTTTTCTAATAGAAAATAATTTTAAAAATATTCGATTCACCTGGAATCTGTAAAAGTTGAGAAATAAAGGAATATGTTTTCTAATAAATTCTAATTCTGCCTTCTTAATTATTCCTATCCCCAAAATTAAACACTTTCTTCATAGTAAATAATTTAAAAAATATTTGATTCATGTAGGATCTGCAAAAGTTGAGAAATAAAGGAATATATTTTCTAATAAATTCTAATTCTACCTTAAAATGAAACACTTTTCTGATGGAAAATAATTTTAAAAATATTCGATTCACCTAAAATCTGTAAAAGTTGAATTAAAAGTCGCAAGTGCCCAGACAATTGATATTAACGAAAGCCATTCGTGGTTCATTCTGTCCGTTGTTAAAAGAATCCTGGCACTTCGCCCATTCGATCAGGAACAAAGCCCGATAAAGTCGCGGAATGGCCGTCGAGCACGAGGCCGATAAAACGCGAGCAAGAACGATGGAGGAGTTTGCATGAAGAGCATGCGTGGGACGTGAAGACACGATATCTTCTTGTGTGCCACATCAAGGAAGACGTACGAACCGATTCGATTCACATTCATGACTTTCTAACGACTTGGGACCAAGTGTCGTGAACGCATACACGAAAGACATTAGCGTGAATACTCGAATGTGGACACTCGAAACCCTTCTTACCTTCGTTCCAAAACATACGAGGTTCTTGTTAAAATAAATTGCACGATAGCCGCTTTCGCTTTTGTATTTCATTTCTTTCGTCACTTTGATATCTTCGAAATTAAATAATTTATTTCTGAATGCTGCAATTTATTTTTGTTAAAATTTTGTACCAAAGAGTTAATCCCGTTTATTAACGAATAGAGAAAAAAAATAATACGATGATTGTGATAGTGGAAAAGGCCATGCATAGTCAGACGTACTAAATTCCTAATTATTAAAGATATCATTGATATCACTCGCGGTGATTAATTGAGAGGGTAAATCGCGGCTGCCAAATGCGCCGTGATAATTAGCCACGCGGTCATCGGGGCAATTATTTTACATTTTCTCGCCGTTCGTTCCGAAGGAAAGTGAGCGTACGTATCGTGCCGCTATTCTCGATCCAGATAAGGATCGATGCTATAATTCCACGGGATCTACCGAAGGATCGCTCTCACCGTTGATCAGCTCGCGGTATCCTTTATAAGATAATCTGGCGATGCAGCGACGCGGCTCGCTATTTACGAACCTGTACAATCCTGTAAATCGTATACTCGTGCTTCTCCTATCTACTATTCGTCACGAGACCCAGTACGCCTCTGTGTCTTAGATCAACGCTGAACTTTGAGTTCCTCGCGAGAGCACTTAACGAAAGCAAACGCTTTTCCAACGGGCACGATCGATCACGTTCAGTTTCAGATTCCGCGGCTGGATAAGCCGGCTTGATTCAGTATTCGTGAAAATCGTTCCTGAAGAGATTATTCTCTTCGCGAATGCTATGCGAATCTGTCGCACCTACGAAAGTTGAAGTATTTTGCAAACTTTGACTTTCTTTCAAAACTCCACGAGATCGTGATTCATTCTTAAAGACAGGTATTCGCGTTTCGAAATACCCCGGTTCGAGGGTTCATGAATATGCATGACTAGGAAGGTGCCCCCGCAAAAATTTACGACCCTGACAGGCTGACGTCTGGAGGATCGCAAACGAGGACCAAACGATAGCCTGGATATAATCGGGTCTGACAGTCCTCGAGGAAGCACGTTACGCTTCGAAATGGCCCGAAAGGTGTTTTCAGAACGTCACGAAGGTGTTCCGAGTGGTTTCTTGTTCTTCTCGGTATCGGACGTGTTATCGGAACGGGCGCCACGGGAATAGATAAACAGTCTCCGCTCGAGGATCCTTCGTTCGGTGCGTTGGTGTTTTGAATTCTACGAAGATGATGTCGAGGATGCTCTTGTTTTTAATGAAAATAGAGCTCGAGCCTCGACGAGATTTATTTTGAAATTTGAATGAAAATAAAAATAGTGGAACACGCCTAACCCAGGCTCTACTCAATTTATATAATTTAATAAAAATTTTCAGTCGAACGATTTCGCGATAACGCAGAAGATTTCGTTGAAACAAAACAGTCGCGAATGATACGGACATTTGCATAATCCGTTTGTCCTCGAAGAAACGAGAATGCCAAAGAGAAAACGATCGCCGAGAAACGAGTATCTTTTGTGCTAAGGACGAGCAGTGATCGCGTCGGAAAGATTCAGAATCCTTGTGTTGTCTGACAACCGTGAATGACCAATGTGACAGGATAATAACTTCGGCCAGGAGAGAGAAAGAAAGGAAGAAAAAATGGCAAAGAAATTGAAGAAACTTAGAAACTCGTGACATCGGTGAACGTTGAAGGAAATAAAGAGTACATCCACGTTGGCACGGTAAGTAATTGGCAACATTTAATTGCCTGAAATTAATTTACCTGGATCGCTATCGGGCTCATAATTACGGCCTCCGTTTCAAGCTCTAATTATAAAACAATTTATCGTGTCTCTGACGATGATGGAGCGGGAGGGGTCTCGAGTGAACGGATCACTCGTGCGGGCAAATGCAACTCGTAAAAAGCTAACCGGGAAATTAATAATTGAACCAGCTTATTTATTACCATAACGATTACTCCAATTAAACGGTGAAAGAAGGAACAGAACCTTAATGATCTCGAGAATATAAAAGATTGCCAATTTAGGGTTGACTCGAATTTATAACTCGGTACCAGTGAATTGATATATAATTACTTATTTTGTTAATTTGTAATATGGAGATTGAAACACTTTTTTCTAATTATCACTATTGCTAATTATCTCTCAACCCGAAGGATAGAACGTGTCGGGGTAACTAGTATTTCGAGAAGAGACAACTTTTCCCTTTCCGAAGAATCGTTCATCGAAAAGACGATGAAAAACGCGTCGAGGCAGAGCGATTACGAATAACTTCACGTTCGCGAAGGAATTTCGCCCGCGGTTAGAAAAGAGACCGAGTTAGTGAACGACGAACGGGAAGAAGGGAGAGGGGAAGAGAAAGTGTGGACACGAGGATCGAGAGGGATGGAGGGTCGATTCTAGCTTCGAGGGGTCATTATAGAACTCTTCTAACCGTCTCCGCGCTGATGCCAGACTGTCTGGATTGACTGATGTCAGGTCATTCGAAGCTTCCTAGACCTCTTCTAGTTGCCTCACCGGCTACATGGAAGTCGAGAACAGGCTGAACAGTTCTAAAGATATTACCCGACGAATCTCGATACGCCTCGTTACGCGAACGACTTTCAAAAGCAATTAAAACTGGCACGCTGAAACTTATTTGCTCTGCCCGATAGCTACGGTCATTCGTTTTGGCTTTGAATTCGTGACGCAACGCCGTTCTTTCTTCGCGTTTCTTTTTTTTTTTTTTTTTTAATAAGTATACTTTGTATTTGTTAGGTTTCAGACCGTTTAGAGAGAGTTCGATGCAATTAATTTTTGCTTCGAATGAAATTAGATTGTTGGTTTTGATTATAATTGGAAATAATTTCGAAAGGGTGAACAGGAGAAAATATTTTCACTCACCTGTGCGTATTCGGCGCAGATGTCGATCGACGACACGTAGTTGACGACGTCCTCGATGGTCCACCGATTCACCGCCTGTCCGTCGCCACAGGGCATGTGTCCACAGAGGGACGGACATCTCACTGGGGGTGGCGTAGTGGGTCGAGGGGTTGGTTTAGGTTTCGGTGAAACGCTTCCCGCTCTCCTGGTTTCCGTCCTCTGCCTCTTACGCGGTGCAAATCCTCCTGGACTCGAGAGATCCAGGGGACTCGTCACTCCAGGATCTCTTTTGTTCGCACCTGGACAACAAAATACATTATCATGTTATTAAATTATTATCTATTCATCTGTAAAGGAATGTCGATCTCTGACATTCAAATTAAGGGGTATTTTTCAAACTGGGCGGACTCATAAATCAAACAGATCATCAACAATCAATTTGAAAATTTAACAGTAACATTTTTTCATTATATTCATAGTTCTTTTGCTATAAATAATTTTCTGACGACTTTTCCTTGAAATTTTACACTTTCTCTTAAAAAATACACCATTTTTGGAAAAATCAATATATCAAAAAAATCCTACGTAGTTCGATAGCTGTTCTGATATATAATCGAAAATATTTTGGTTTTTTATCCTAAGTTAAAAATTGCAGGAGCTGCTGGTCCCGCCGTTTAACCCTCCAAAAAGAGCCGGAGGAATCAATATACCAAAATTAATTTTTAAAGTTTATTAGTTGTAAAATGAAGGCATGCTTACAAAACTTGGATTTATCCCATCAATAAAAAAAGAAAAATTCCCAAAATATGCTTATTTTTTCTTGCTCTAGATTGGCCTAACTTCTTAACATACAAGAAAATTGCACAAAAGTTACCTTTAAGGTACGTTTCCAACTCTGCTGCATTCTGCGCTGCGTTCGCAGTCCTCACCATGTGCAACAATGCCTGCGTCGACGACATATCCAACATCGGCGGGAACACGGGATTACCGAACAGGCTGTCCTGCTTTTGCTCCTTCGGATCCTTATTGGAAAGGGGTGAGGTGGTGGGCACGGTAGGTGGTTGAGGCGCACCCAAGGGTGCCATCAAACCGACGAAAGGTGTCGCGGCAGTTTTGAACGCGGGAAACCTTGGATCTAAACCCGGAGGATATCCGTTTCTAGGTGAACTGAAGTAGCTGTAAAATAGAAATGAAATTTTTAATGAAACTTAATTAAGATTTTTAAAAATACGTTTCATTTATCTTGAAAGCCATCGAACTTCTTTTTCCCCGCAACGAGTGCCAGCGCACATCCTGCTTGTGCGTGGAAGGACACGGGCATATTTATTCAGCGAATTGGAACGACGAGCAAGGCACTTTCTCCTCGAAATGCCATGGATCGCAAGCACCGCCATGCGCTTCCAGCGTCCTCGTCACGCGGATCTATGCTCGGTACTTGACTGATCCAACCAAGTGTACCCTTCTGCTCGAACCCAACCGAGCCGTGTGCCGGAAGCTACACGGTTGAAAGCCTAAGGCACTTGCAAAACGACGACCGGTTTCATGTGACAATATTGCGCGACCGCGACAGCCGGCCACTCTTGTTCGCCAAGCGGCATCAATATTTCGAGACATGTTACGAGACGATCAATATTTTCCCTTGGTTACTCGCTAGAAGCTTCGTACGCGTTTTCAATATTCCCACAGATGCACGAGGAACACTAGCGATCGCACGAAGAATGTCAAGGCAAGCGTCAAGACCATCAAGGTCCTCTGCTCTTTCACAGATTATATACGATTTCTTATGCATCGTACGATTGAATTGAAGAAAAATAATTTTTGATTTCAAGAGAGACTAGTACTTACTCATTAGGATTGGCGTTATTGTACTTGGCAGCGAGGCTTCTCATGAAATCGCTGTAATTTCGTCCCATCATCTGCTCCATGTGTTTGAGGTGATGGGGTGGTGGTGGGCCCTCGGGTCCACCCAAAGGGGTAGCATTTGGCGGCGTTCCTGGGTGGCTAGACGACGAGGGCGTTACGCTCCTCGACGAGGTCGAATTATTGTCCGGAGTGAGTCGTTCAGTTTTAACCTGAAATAGAATATTTTCATGTTCTATAATACCAAGAGATTAAACCAACAAGCACCCTCGTGGTCACGGTCATCGAAAAGGTAACCGAGATCCATCTCGGGGGTGGAAGAGGAGGAGCAAGCAGGAAATATCTACGAGCATTAATTCCCGGGAACAGATTGCATCCGAGATATGGTAATGAAGGCAACGCGTGGCGTAAGAGTTGACTCCTCTTCGAGAACGGTCGCGACGTGACACCAAGAAGAACGAGACTCGATTGGCGTAGAATAGGGTCCCTGAGGAGAGACCGAGCAGCCTCACCAAGAGGCCACGTAAATCTCTTTCTCGCCTCGAGACACCTCTTCCTGACAAGGGGCCGACTCTGGTCAACGTAGACACGATCCCAACGTGTACACGTTTCGAACGGCTCTCGTCCACTTGGCCCGTCAGTTTCTTGCGAAAGAAAGGCGTCGATGGGGACCTTAGCGCCTGATCAATTACTCCTCGGCATAATGGATTTCCTTTTAAACCCTTTCAATATTTTTCACCCACAAAACTTGCGCTCAGATATGGACAATTTTGAAATATTTCAAATTGAGTAAATTATACAATTGCCCTATAATATCGTGTCATACTCGTGAAATTTCGAGTTTAATTCTAATGTATGCATTTGTTTTAAAATTGAAGCAATAAATATTCAGCTCTGATTGACACAACTATCGAAGAAATCATAGGCGAAAGGGTTAAATTATTTAACATCGTGTATTTTCTAAATTCACGACTTGAACTTCGATCTGAAGAAATAGACACTCTATTTGCCTTTCAATGAATTTCCTAAAAATTTCGGAGTGTTTGAAGAAGAAAAGCTAGTCGATTGAAGTGGTAGCGAGTACACGTGGACACGAGTCCCGTTCAAAGCCGTCCCGACCGGTGTACTATGACATCGCTGTCAAGTAAAGCCGCACTGTCATTCCGCTGCTGACATCCGTACGACCGGTGGACGCTTCTGTAAACGTGGCAGCGGGGGCCAGAAAAAAAGCAAACGGTCAGATGGTTGGGTATATCGATGGTCATCGTTCGGAAAGAATGTTCGTCGAATGACACGTGAAAATCATGCTCGGCTACCACGTATCTCTCGACGTGACTACAAAGATCTCTATGGAGTAGCAGCAACGAGCGCGACGAAGAATTAGATGGATAGATATTTCTGTTAGATTGTAAAAGATATTTTCATTTAACTCACTTGAGTAGTATCGAGACCATTCTGATTCTGCCGCCTCCTACCCCTCGGCGGCCTAGGGGTCGCCGCACCGGAAAGGTGGGCACCCTGAGGGCTTCCGCCCCTCGCGTCGACCGCTGTATTCGCGGCCAGGGTGGCCCCGTCGTTGTTTTCCGTGTGTGTGCCTAATTCAGTCGCTTCTCCACGATCGCCGCCACGTGGTCCAGAACTAGCGGACACGTTTTCACCTGATACCTCACCTGTTCCAACAGAAAATCACCACGGTTATTATAAATTTCAACGATACAGAAATACACGCATAGAAACGGATAATTATTTCTGGGAAGCTTGGTTGCAGCGTAATCTATTAGATAATCTATAAAACGTTTCTCTGGTATCGTTTCGTTTTCAAGTAAACGCGAGCTGCCCTTTAAGGCGCGTTTCCCGCGGCTTAGCTGGTAATCCGCTCGTATTTTGGCGCATCGTTTGCTCGATAAATCCACGGCTCGACTCTGTATAATACATTTTCCACTGGCAAACCAGGCAACTCTAACAGCGGTTTCGTAACGAGGCGGTAGCCGCGTCGTAAAGCTTCCTTAACGTCGGCCCCGTGTAAACGGTGTCTTTCGACACCAGGAATTTCGATGAAATACGTTTAAGAGGGATAAGCGATTACACGGTGGCTGAAAGCGGCGCTAGCCACACACACGAAATTTACGCCTAATAAATGAACCTGTCCCAGCGTTATTATCGCGGTGCTTGATCAGAGACTTGTAACAGCTTTTCGGATACGCAATAGGACATTTATAACTTGAAACATTTTAAACTAACCAGCACGAAAAGCCTTCACTCCTCGAATACTGTTATAAATTTTATCAGGCTGGATTTTTATTTTTAATAAATTTTGCCATTTATTTTTTAAAACCTAATACGAGTATATTTAATAAGGCAAATCAAGGAATTTCTAATTTATTCCTACAATTTATTATACAAATGTTAATTGCAGTTCAATTAAAAATTTCACCCTTAATGAGTCAGATGCTCGTCGTTAGAGAGACAGGAGTAAAAGAGAGAATGAGAAAGATGGCAGAGGGTAGAAGACAGAGGTCAGTGGCCACATTAGCCACCAGGAGTACCCAATAAATTCTTGCCATCGTTAAATGGTCGGAATTTTATGGCGGTTGTAACTCGTGCACATGGCCGAATTTGTTGGACGATACGATCGACTGCGGCTTGAGATCGTTGCATGCGATGCGAGATCGTGGATATTGCCTTGATTTCACCATCGATGCACACGTGCGTTCGTGGTAGCTCCGAGGCCATTCGTGGCTGAATTTATTTAGTTAACGTGCCAACAGGGTGAACGTTTAGGCAGCGGGGAAGAAGGAAAGATACAGTGAAGATATTGAAGAAAACACTCGTTCACTATCGTCGAGAGAAAGCCACCTCCCTCTACCTTTGACTCGCATAACTTTCTAGTTCATCATATTTCTTTTATTTCTAAAATAGAATCGAACAGTATTAAATGACTGGTCGAAATTTACGACAAACCGTGATTCTATAAACCTGGGCGTGAAAATATACATTAATCTGATTTTACAACTTCCATGAAAGGGGATCTGGTATCCTGAAATTAACAGAATCATAACGCGTTGAATAAAAAAAGGATAAGAAAATTGATCATAAAAGCCACTCCTATGACAGTCATTAGTCAATGACTTCATCGTTTTCGAGCGCAATATTTACGGTTCCCCATAAAAATTCTATTAGGTGCTGCTATTTAATGAGAAATCTACTCTCCTAAACAGCTCTATTTTTCTAAAAGTTCAAGGCCGCGAAGGAAAATTGATTTCGAAGAAAGAAAATTAATTACTCGCGTCCCTAATGAACGAAAAGCACAAGTGCAAAGGCAAACGCGAGCACCCTTAATTAAAACTTTCTATCGCGGCTCAAATCGACATTTGATTTACAGTAGTCGTAAGGAAAGCTCGTAAAACTCTATCTAACCGTTTCCATCGCATTCCCTCACGCGCCCATTAGAGGATACGCATGGACCGCAACTTTTACGTGCACGCGGTAGCGCGGCTAAGTCACGTACGACAAATATCATAACTCGAATTCCGGAACTGCCGATGCACCGGACTATTGTTTGCGGATCGTTCCTCGCGTTGCTGGGGTTATTTGCGTACCGGTGGAAAATCGTTTGCCGACGAAGTCGACGGAAACTAGTCAGCCCTGTGAATTGCTTCTAAATCCTCGCTATGTTCGCTTGCAACGTTTGCCTTCGCCAGTGTACCGGGAATAGTTTCCGCGAAAATAATACTCTGTTCAATACAATCAGTCGAATGGTTTTATGTGTTTACGGTGTCACTTGTACACGCGGGATTTTCAGGTTAACAGATGGATTTATGAATCGATGTTAAGTCCCACGAGCACACAACTTGAAGGAAAACTGACTAACGCGACTTCAAACGGGTGAAGTCTCACAGTTGAACTTCAAGGTGCGACGACACGCTATTCTTAGCGAGTATTAACACGTCGTTACGATATTTCGCACCAAGAACGTGCATTGTTTCCAGGAGAAAATAGAAGACTCCTTCGCTTTGTTCGCGTATCTGACAACCTCTAAATTTTTCATTGTATAGAAATAATTGTAGGAAATATTTCCGATTCTCAAAAGGAGATGATTAATTCGATGGTTAAACAGTGATTATCATGTTCGCGGTGGAAATGCAGGAAGAAAAGCACAGAACACCCGGAACTCCCAGATGGGTGCTGAGCATAAATTATTTTGCGAGACTGCTGTTAAAACGAACTGACCCTCGAGGTCAAGAATAGAGCGGTTCGCGACAGGAATAAAGATGGCAGCTTACCTTTCAGTCTAAGTTAATTATTCCAGCCTCGAGAACATTTTTCGACGAATTACTGGCGAACGTTTACCTCGAGGTCTCTGTTAAGGATACTTGAGAGAAAAGGATGGCGAAAAACTGACAGTCAAAAGAGGATGATCAATCGTCATTTCAGAATCCTTTTCCGCGATGATATCATTGCACTAACCGTTATATTTTCTGTAAATTATTCATAAATTGATTTTTAAAAAAAAGAGCTACGCACGTGGGTGTTTAATTCGGTATCACTAATAATTCGAGAGTTACAATAAAATAACGAATTTATGAAACGTTCTAGCATGAATCTACATAAGATACTCGTTATCAATTTCAACAAATTAAATTAACCCGCTTTCGCGAAGCCCGCTGAATTTTGCAATGAAAAAATCGAAACGCGTAGGTTGTACAATATATTCAGTCTTAACAGGATTCGGAGTAACCACCGACGTATTCAATTTGCCGTGAAACGAATAAAAAGTCGAGGCTATTTCTTGCAACGTATGCTACGAGCCAAACAGTGGCATGATTTCTTAATATCCCGATAGCAAACAACGCGACTATACTCTATCTATGCACGATCAAATTAAGCATGAAACTCAGCACAGATTTCCAATGTTACGGTAATTTTCATAGCTCATGGAATTATCGAATTATGGAAAATCTATATTATCTCTGCTGGCATAGTACGATTAAGATCGATCTAAAGATACGGATTAAAAGTTATTAGACACGGTTTATGCATATGTTATTCGCTCTGACCGCACCCAATTCGCATTTGCATTCGACATCTTCCCCCGTGCACTTCCGTTACGCAATACATTCATATATTTACCTCTCGCAGAGATTTCTCTGATTTTCATTTAGGAACGATAAGATCAATTTACATAAATAATACAGTGGAACGAAGTTTATCGCTTTAAAGTGTAGGCGTTTAGTTCTCGTCTTCCCGGACGCCCTTAGTTCGGGCCGGAGTCCGCTAGGTGGCGACGAGACGAGATCAAGTGGAGTGTTCTCGCTAGCGGTCGCCCGGCACGCAGTTCAAATTGCGGTATGATAGTTGTCTGGGGCAGAGACGAGTCTGACAGACGATCCCGAGACTAAACGCATTTTTTCCCCTCTCTTACAAAAGCGTTAACCCTACCAAAGGTTAATACGCGAGAGCGGAAGTCACCGTTTCCTTCACTTACGGCCTCGGCAAGGCTGGCCGCTTGAAAAACCAGCGGATCGCCATGGAAGAAGTGTTTGCACGCGTGCACGCACCTTCCTCGTACATATCCGCATCCGAGGTTAGCATGCTACTTAATGAACGATAAAGGGGGCTTTGCTGCGTGCAGCCGGTCGTTACGAATCCCCATCGTGACGAGGTATATTATTCTCTGAACGCAGGAGTTTAACTGCTCCCTTGTATCGGGGAAGAAATGAAGAAATAGAGGGCGGAATCGAAGATAACTAAGTTAGAAAAAATCCAAAGTGGTCCCTAAAGGACCATGTTTGATAAAGAATGTCGTTCCAGCTCGGTATGCGAGGGGATTAATATGGAATTGTCCAGGGCATAGCTAAACCAACGATAATAATTGCGAGCGTAACGACCTTTAAAGGCCGGTACACGGGCAGGGTGAAAAGAAGCGGGAACGTAGGAAGGAGGAAAGAGATTAGTGTCACAGCGTTAACACGATCAGCGGCGTCAGCTCCGCGGTGTTAACTTACACATAACTTACCGGCGTGAGTTATGCGCGAGCAGGAGGGCCGGCCGTGCCATTAAAGCGGGTTATGCCCGTTTCAAGTGGAAAATCATAAGCACCGCAGATACGCCGTTATTACTATAGACGCGCCACGAGAACGCCACTTACTTTGTAATCATGACTAATGCATAATGCAGTAGCTGGTGCATTTGTATCCGTGCGTCTGTCACGCGTTCCTATGCGGGTGCGTGCATCATTCCTGTATGCCCGATGATCGTCGTGTGTGTTCAGGTATAAATATAAGACTCGCGTGCAATCGACATAAAGTACAGCACAGGTTCGAAGATCAACTATTTTGAAAAAATTTTTAGAAAGAAAAATACTTTGAAATATTTCTGTACTTTCAGCGAGCTCGGTATCGGCGCCGTTCGCTAACCATAAGAATCAATAAACGAGCAAAATTATACACACGGTAACGAGAGTGAACGTAGAAAGCTTACAGCCAAGGCGAATCGGTACTCCTGTTAAGTAGGTGAAGGCACGCGAACGGGCATCCCGAGGGAGAGAACGTCGCGACGCTACTATGCAGAACGAGATCCCGTCGCGTGAAATATCGTTGCGATGAGGTTGGCGATGAGCAAAAAGGGTTAAATTACCAGCGTCCAGGAATGCTCGAATATCGTCTCGTTT